TATATATTTATTTAATTAATAAGTAAGGCAACAGTGGCTTTCAAAAATTGAAACGTTTGAAAATTGGTTTCTCTGTTTTTAAATTTTTCTCAAATTTTTTTTAATTAATGTAAATGAAATAAATCTATAAAAATATTGTATTATATTTTAAATTGAGTAGGAGCTGCAAGAGACCAAAAAGGGTTTTTAAAAAGTATGTAACAATTACTCATGAACAGTCCTAATACATACTACAATAATTACAACATCAAAAGGAGAACTCGAATAACATGTACAAGTGTATAGTAAAGATTTATAAATCAGCCAAAGAGGGAATAGTAAGTAATAGCAGGAGGAGATTCAACACTTCCTTTATTACGATTATTACCCATTATTGTTCTATTATTTATTTCGTCCATACATCCGAAATAAATAATAACTGTTTAATTCTTTTATTTCCTTTTTCTTCATTTCGTTTATACATATGTAATTAATGTGTTTGGTTTATTATTTACCCTTATATATTAAAACGAGTCTCTGAACCATCTGCCAACATTAACGTCACAGTCCTATTATTAATCCACCTCAGTCTTGCCAGTCTCATGGGGTTTAAACGAGCCACGTCAGCAATCGGGGCGGTACTGTACGATTTTATGCACCGTGTTTGTGATGAACCCAAACCAAACATACCTTTGAAAAATAATCGTTTTATATGTTTCCTTTCATATACATACTTTTGTATGTAATAGTCAATTACTTCAACCTTTATTTTGTGGACATTAAAATTTACAATGAATATTTAACCAAACACAAAATTTCCACCTTCTAATATTTTAAACAGATCTTGCAATTATCTTAATATTTATAATAAAACGCCAAGAGAAGAGCTAGTCCCGTGGCCGCCACATCTTTGCCAGTGCACGCGAGTTGTCATAACAAATTTACAGGCTTAGCGCTCCTCATCGACTCCAAATAGAGAAAATATTGCGGAAGATTTATTGCACCTGCATACTCTTTAAACGTGGACGTTATTCATTATTAGTATACTTCACATATTCTACGAGACATTCGAGGGCATACTACACCTGATAGTAAGTTTCTTTTTCAAAAGCACAAACCGCCATTGGTTACGCTAAATTCTTACCTAGCATACTTTTATGTGCCTATATATAGTGGAGAGATGGACTTACCAGAACTTGTTTGCCAGAAATTGAGCCTATTTTCCCCGCATGCGTAACTGACCAGCGTTTTTCCGTCGTGACTAAAAGCGCAGGCAGTAACTGGAGCGGAATGTGCATTGATTGTACTACATTTTCCCTGTCGTAACTCGTAAATGGTCAGGGTACCGTTTGTCGATCCAACTGCTATCCTTCTCGTAGCCGGACAGTGGGACACTTGTGTAAAACGACATATAGCAGGAAACACTTCTTGTAATCCTTTGGCTTTAAGCTGACCAGGATCTAGGCAGTGCAATATTATGTCCATCACCTAAAATAAAAAATTAAAGAAGATTAGAACACTTAAATTTATAACAGTATCAGCAGCCTGCGTGTAAGAAACATCGTTAAATAAAATGGACGCAATATTGACTGAAGAGTGGACAAATATCAATATTTAGGAAATCAAATAATTGAGAATAGAAAAAGCGATAGAGACATAAAAGAAACAACAGTTAAGGGTTAACAAAAAGAAATTACTTTTGTGCTTTTAGATGGTTAATTTTAAAATTTAAAAAAAAATATTACTCGATTCAAACGGTTAGAGATGTGACCTTGAAGAAAGCTGCGAGAATAAAAAGAATGCATAGAAGAAAGTTTAAACGAGATAAAATATAACTGAATTTGAAATTTTGCCACGGCACATCCAAATAAAGGAAAAGGCATACCTCCATCGTTTTAATAGTGTATGTTTGCAGCACAACTATATTAGTGCAGAACGTGGATGGTAGACGCAGAGGAAAAAAGAAAAAAAGTAGCTCTTGACCGCACACAAAGTTGCAGATGTAATACAGTGAAAAAATTATTGTGACCGCACACAAAGTTGCAGATTTAATACAGTCAAAAAATTATTGTGCCCTGAAGGACTATGTTTTAATGACTAAGTATAATTTTTAACGTAAAAACTTTATAATTTGAAGTACATACCTCAACTAGAAGATCTGCCATTTCGTTTTGCATTTTTTCAATTAATAATTCTACGCCTCTCAGGATTTCTGGTTTTGCTTTGTACAAAACAAAACTGTGTATATTTACGTTCAGAGTCTGTGCATTCTGCTGCATTGTGTTAAAACGAGCAACTTCCCTTGCCAATGTCGTAATAAACGCCGCAGGCCTAAAAAAAACAAATTAAAACCATTTTCCAAACTGTTATATCTTTATACAGAAAGCAAAAAATATTGGGAAAGTGCTAATTTTATATGATATCCCACGCGATCCTTTTTCGAAGCCCTAGTTGGGGCACCTTTTGCAACAAAAATAAAATATTTTTAAACATTTTTCACCTGGAGCACTGACCAATTACATTGTCCAATGTACCAAATCTTTTGTTAAAATTTTTATGTACAATTACTTAGTTTTAATTGTGAGACGAAGTCTCGCCAGAACGATGACTTTTTATTAACTTTTTTGTAGCGAATTGCAATAATAACTTAAGGATACCACTGATTAAGAAAAAGTTAATTTACCTAGCTGTTGCAATAAGCGTGAGGGCATGCCTTGAAGTTCGGCAGGAATCAGCTTGAGGGGTAAGGGGGAGACCGTAGGTCATACTCGGAACTAATTTATCGGCATCACAGCATAACTCTAGAAGACCTGAAACGATTAAAAAATAAATCAACAAACGTAAACGTAAATAATAATGTAATATAAAGTACCTAAAAGTACTTTACTTATATCTAAGTAGGGTTCCCACACAGTAAAACCTCTGCCTATTAAATCTATGGCTGCCCTTCTTAACGGTGTATGGGCTGGTAACTTAGGCGAAGGGGGAGCCAAAAGTAGATGCGAAAGAGCCATCGATGTTAAACGTGCTAAATTGTTATTTCCTAAACCTAAAAGCCAATTTGTAATTATTTTAACTCTATTTTAATAAGATACCTATGCTTGTTAACTTACCAAAACCTTCAACCACGCTGCTTTTTCTCTTTTCGTTACTTTTCTTTTTATTTGGATCTGAAATAATATCCTGGCCAAATTCCGCTCCAATGACACCCAATAGAACAACCGCTGTAGTTTGTTTTCTCTTCAGTTCAGCAAGACTCGAAGGCTTTCGTACCTGTTCTTCTTCTTCTTCCTCAAACTCTTCATCCTTTGATAGAAACAAAATTTAAAAAAACAGGCTTACTACAACATTTAGTAATTTATTACAAGTCCGTCAGGCGAATTCACAGCCGTTCCTGCATTCGAGTTAACATTATTTTGAATTGGAGGAGTGACAGCTTGTTGATTAATCGTTTCAGTTTGAGTATAAAGTGGAAGAAATTGGGCCCACGCATCCACGAGAGCCTTGCGACCTTTAGGTCCCATCCTGCGAAAAAACAATGGAATGGTAATATTCAAAAACACTAACAATAATGTTTACCGTCCAAGTTCAGCTAAAAGTAATGCTTGTGCAGCTTCCCTGACCTCTAAACAATGATGTTGCCACCTCTTAGCCATCATTTCCACCTGCGGCCTTTTGAAGTTCTTTGAACCAGCAGCTACAACCTGTTAAATATAATATAAAATATAGAGATTTAACAATTGTATCGAAAAAGTAAGGCAGTAACACAATAAGTATAGTGTGTTCGCTCATTAACCTTTCAACGTACTTTATCTGGAAGAAGAACACAATGTAAGGTGGCAAGTAAAGACCACCCCTGTTTTATTTGAGCCTGTTGCTGCGTATACATTTCTTCATGTTCTTCATCTGCCTTACTCCAATGTAACCTCGAAGTTTGTCTAAAAAGTAAATTGTAATACTTGTTAATATTTACAGAAAACGAAATTAAATTACCCTAAACTAACCTGTGCATTTTCCTATTTCTCTCCTGTTCAGGAATGAAAGTGGCATTACTCATAGACATAAGAGTATGACTGAGGGCAATTATGGCCAACAGATGATTGCTAGTTAAAGTTGTACTAAGTTCCCAATGGGTTCTAGACGTAAATATTCTGGTTAAACGCTCTTGTTTAATCAATTCTTCGGGCAAGTGCATGTCTGTCAGGTCCCCTGGAACTGGCTCATCGTCTAAAGGGATAGTATTTGTCCAAGTAGGAAGAAAGAAAGACATATAATTCGCTTTCGAAAGAACGCCAAATGATATTGGTACCTAGCAATAACAATTTAAAAAAAGAAACATTTAAAAAGGCTGACGAGAATGTACCTACCATGGGTCGTAAAAGTCCTAATTTAACTAAACACACTCGATCTAAATCGGGATCCATACCCCAAGCATGGAGAAGCGACAACAGAAGTTGAGCGATTTCCATGGCATGGCTAGTTTCCATAGGACCCAATGTCGGCCTGCTATTAGACCTCGAATTTGATGCACTATTATCTAAAATTAATTAAATGTGTCTGTGTTTTCAATAAGATAGACATGATTAACAAAAATAGATTTAAAAAAAATCGAAAAAATATAAGAGCTAGATAAATAAGCATAAAACCAAAACCAAAAATGAAGAATTAATAACGTTATTTATGAGCTATCAAAGTAACTANACTTTTGTGCTCGCGAGCGCTTAATTGGAGATTCAAAAAAGATTACGTCAGTCATTTTATAATAAAATCTCTGAAAGCGTTTGACTAAGGATTAAGATACGACCAAGATTTCTGTATAATTCTTGAAGAGAAAATTCCCGTGAAATTTGGCCTTACCCTAGACTTAAAAAAAGGGTATAAAACTCGAGAAATCTTAAAAATACAAGAATAAAAAGAAAACTCAAAAACGATGAGTAGTTTTATGAGTAGTTAGACACGCACCTCCACTAATTCCTGTCTTGAACTAATCTTAGCAAGGATGTGGGTTGTTCGAATTTTAGGGAAAAAATTCGAACAACCCACATCCTTAACTATTTTTAAATTTTCCTACTTGCCTCATTGTCCTAACATTCCACGCTCCAACTATTACACCTACCCCTATAGAACTTATTGATGACATCCCCCGCACGGACATACGAATGGGGGACTAGTTTACATCCGGAGTGCTTTACCCCAGAGGTCGCCATCGTTTTAGCTTGGTGTGTTTTACTTGGGATATCATAATGAGGTGGATTTCCGTTGCCTTCCACATCGCAGTATTGTGCATCAAAGTGCCATACCAATCCTCGTGATCTCTGTCACCCTGAGTACTGAAAGAGCTGCACCCTTTTTCAGGGACTTGTCTTAGTCTGGTTTCTCTTTAAGAACCCCCCAATTATAGCTGAACCTATGAAACTCGCAAGCTGATCCATCCACTCTAGTTTGTACAAGAGTTTCGTCAAGGTTCAAGTCCCTTCTATCAGATGCTGCAATAAATGCTCTCATATTTTTGAAAGCATATTTTATAAATAAGAAGATTGGGTAAAGACCTGTAGGAATAATTCTACTGTTTCTCTGTTATACAGCTCTAGTCTATTAAAAGATAGACGAATAAATTCAAAATTGTTATTGTAAAAAAATTTAAAGTTATTTTACATTGATTAAGTTACCTAATTTAAGTAAAAGCCTAATAATTTGTGACTGTGAATATTTAAATGCCCCTTGAGTTCTACCTCCAAGGTGGTGTGAAAACGAACACTTTGGAAAAAAAATTTACGTGACCTTTGACTATCTGTACCTAACCGTCCAGTTGACGAACTTTTGACAAATTACTTATGGCGTTAAAATTATCAGAACTCCTCTAGCAGGCCCCTCTTTTCCATTAGACACTCTGAGTAAGTGCCCTGGGCCCCGCTATCGACGGTGGCCCCCTAGTTTCTGCCAAATCCATCCATCAACCCAAAACCCGATATTTATTACCCAAAAATATATTTATTTTGAGGAAATTAACCAGTAATTATAAAACAAAATTAAAAACATGAATTGAAAATTTCGCACAAACTGTGTTGAATCAAATATTTTTGAATAAAGAACGAAAAATTTTATTTCGTTTGTCACTCCAAACTATCAAAATTACAATACTAACATCAATCAAATTTTTTTAAGACCACTGAAAATTGTATATCCATCCTTCTTCTTTGTCGAAATTGTATAGGTCTGTCTTATTTATTTATGTTAGGGATTTTATTTGGGGTATCATTAGCCACAACGATCTGGACAGTCAACGCGGCGGAATAGCAAAAGTTAGAAACGTTTGAAATGTAGCATTACAAACAACAGGATGACGAATACGACCGAGGAGAGAAAGAGTTAGAAATAAATCGATATTGAAAAGGGTAGGAATAAAATAAAGAGTACAAGGCAGAGATAGGACAGTAAGAGACTTTCTGATTCATGAACGACTAGTACAAGACATTAGAACCAGAAACAGGAGTAAAGAGGAGCAGGGTAATACCAACATTATATTAGTGTTTGCAAAAATTAAGGATGTAGGGTATTCTAACTTTAGAGACTGACGACTCTACAGATGGTGATAACGTTATTATTGGGTTTAACAAAGCACTTTTACTTGTTTTAAACAAATTGTTTATTTAGAATAAGCAAACAAACAGATAAATAGCAATATTTTATTGGAACTTCCCTGATTTAATAATTACACAACATGATGATAAACACTAATTAAAAATCGACAGCAAATACAACNAACTGCTATCCTTCTCGTAGCCGGACAGTGGGACACTTGTGTAAAACGACATATAGCAGGAAACACTTCTTGTAATCCTTTGGCTTTAAGCTGACCAGGATCTAGGCAGTGCAATATTATGTCCATCACCTAAAATAAAAAATTAAAGAAGATTAGAACACTTAAATTTATAACAGTATCAGCAGCCTGCGTGTAAGAAACATCGTTAAATAAAATGGACGCAATATTGACTGAAGAGTGGACAAATATCAATATTTAGGAAATCAAATAATTGAGAATAGAAAAAGCGATAGAGACATAAAAGAAACAACAGTTAAGGGTTAACAAAAAGAAATTACTTTTGTGCTTTTAGATGGTTAATTTTAAAATTTAAAAAAAAATATTACTCGATTCAAACGGTTAGAGATGTGACCTTGAAGAAAGCTGCGAGAATAAAAAGAATGCATAGAAGAAAGTTTAAACGAGATAAAATATAACTGAATTTGAAATTTTGCCACGGCACATCCAAATAAAGGAAAAGGCATACCTCCATCGTTTTAATAGTGTATGTTTGCAGCACAACTATATTAGTGCAGAACGTGGATGGTAGACGCAGAGGAAAAAAGAAAAAAAGTAGCTCTTGACCGCACACAAAGTTGCAGATGTAATACAGTGAAAAAATTATTGTGACCGCACACAAAGTTGCAGATTTAATACAGTCAAAAAATTATTGTGCCCTGAAGGACTATGTTTTAATGACTAAGTATAATTTTTAACGTAAAAACTTTATAATTTGAAGTACATACCTCAACTAGAAGATCTGCCATTTCGTTTTGCATTTTTTCAATTAATAATTCTACGCCTCTCAGGATTTCTGGTTTTGCTTTGTACAAAACAAAACTGTGTATATTTACGTTCAGAGTCTGTGCATTCTGCTGCATTGTGTTAAAACGAGCAACTTCCCTTGCCAATGTCGTAATAAACGCCGCAGGCCTAAAAAAAACAAATTAAAACCATTTTCCAAACTGTTATATCTTTATACAGAAAGCAAAAAATATTGGGAAAGTGCTAATTTTATATGATATCCCACGCGATCCTTTTTCGAAGCCCTAGTTGGGGCACCTTTTGCAACAAAAATAAAATATTTTTAAACATTTTTCACCTGGAGCACTGACCAATTACATTGTCCAATGTACCAAATCTTTTGTTAAAATTTTTATGTACAATTACTTAGTTTTAATTGTGAGACGAAGTCTCGCCAGAACGATGACTTTTTATTAACTTTTTTGTAGCGAATTGCAATAATAACTTAAGGATACCACTGATTAAGAAAAAGTTAATTTACCTAGCTGTTGCAATAAGCGTGAGGGCATGCCTTGAAGTTCGGCAGGAATCAGCTTGAGGGGTAAGGGGGAGACCGTAGGTCATACTCGGAACTAATTTATCGGCATCACAGCATAACTCTAGAAGACCTGAAACGATTAAAAAATAAATCAACAAACGTAAACGTAAATAATAATGTAATATAAAGTACCTAAAAGTACTTTACTTATATCTAAGTAGGGTTCCCACACAGTAAAACCTCTGCCTATTAAATCTATGGCTGCCCTTCTTAACGGTGTATGGGCTGGTAACTTAGGCGAAGGGGGAGCCAAAAGTAGATGCGAAAGAGCCATCGATGTTAAACGTGCTAAATTGTTATTTCCTAAACCTAAAAGCCAATTTGTAATTATTTTAACTCTATTTTAATAAGATACCTATGCTTGTTAACTTACCAAAACCTTCAACCACGCTGCTTTTTCTCTTTTCGTTACTTTTCTTTTTATTTGGATCTGAAATAATATCCTGGCCAAATTCCGCTCCAATGACACCCAATAGAACAACCGCTGTAGTTTGTTTTCTCTTCAGTTCAGCAAGACTCGAAGGCTTTCGTACCTGTTCTTCTTCTTCTTCCTCAAACTCTTCATCCTTTGATAGAAACAAAATTTAAAAAAACAGGCTTACTACAACATTTAGTAATTTATTACAAGTCCGTCAGGCGAATTCACAGCCGTTCCTGCATTCGAGTTAACATTATTTTGAATTGGAGGAGTGACAGCTTGTTGATTAATCGTTTCAGTTTGAGTATAAAGTGGAAGAAATTGGGCCCACGCATCCACGAGAGCCTTGCGACCTTTAGGTCCCATCCTGCGAAAAAACAATGGAATGGTAATATTCAAAAACACTAACAATAATGTTTACCGTCCAAGTTCAGCTAAAAGTAATGCTTGTGCAGCTTCCCTGACCTCTAAACAATGATGTTGCCACCTCTTAGCCATCATTTCCACCTGCGGCCTTTTGAAGTTCTTTGAACCAGCAGCTACAACCTGTTAAATATAATATAAAATATAGAGATTTAACAATTGTATCGAAAAAGTAAGGCAGTAACACAATAAGTATAGTGTGTTCGCTCATTAACCTTTCAACGTACTTTATCTGGAAGAAGAACACAATGTAAGGTGGCAAGTAAAGACCACCCCTGTTTTATTTGAGCCTGTTGCTGCGTATACATTTCTTCATGTTCTTCATCTGCCTTACTCCAATGTAACCTCGAAGTTTGTCTAAAAAGTAAATTGTAATACTTGTTAATATTTACAGAAAACGAAATTAAATTACCCTAAACTAACCTGTGCATTTTCCTATTTCTCTCCTGTTCAGGAATGAAAGTGGCATTACTCATAGACATAAGAGTATGACTGAGGGCAATTATGGCCAACAGATGATTGCTAGTTAAAGTTGTACTAAGTTCCCAATGGGTTCTAGACGTAAATATTCTGGTTAAACGCTCTTGTTTAATCAATTCTTCGGGCAAGTGCATGTCTGTCAGGTCCCCTGGAACTGGCTCATCGTCTAAAGGGATAGTATTTGTCCAAGTAGGAAGAAAGAAAGACATATAATTCGCTTTCGAAAGAACGCCAAATGATATTGGTACCTAGCAATAACAATTTAAAAAAAGAAACATTTAAAAAGGCTGACGAGAATGTACCTACCATGGGTCGTAAAAGTCCTAATTTAACTAAACACACTCGATCTAAATCGGGATCCATACCCCAAGCATGGAGAAGCGACAACAGAAGTTGAGCGATTTCCATGGCATGGCTAGTTTCCATAGGACCCAATGTCGGCCTGCTATTAGACCTCGAATTTGATGCACTATTATCTAAAATTAATTAAATGTGTCTGTGTTTTCAATAAGATAGACATGATTAACAAAAATAGATTTAAAAAAAATCGAAAAAATATAAGAGCTAGATAAATAAGCATAAAACCAAAACCAAAAATGAAGAATTAATAACGTTATTTATGAGCTATCAAAGTAACTAGTAAGCAAAGTATTACTAATTTACTATATTATATTACAAAGAGAACTTATAAAGATAAGTTTAATCTAGCAATCAAATGAAGAAAAATAGTAAACATAAACGTATAAATAAAACGTTTTAGCAACACACTTGCTTTGCGTTTGTTACCTTTTGATGAGTTAAGTCCTTGCTTAAGGACACTTTCTGCCTTAGCTTGAATTTTTGTTTGCATGTTTTCAGCACCTTCTTTCATTTTTGCTAAAATCCCTAAAACACATACACCGTCGCAGAAAAGAATGAAGTATTAATTCTATTTTAGTCCCCAAAAAGCGTTTTTCATGCAAAAAACATAACTACGTAAATGTTTATGTAATTGTAAATACGTTTGGAAATATGTATTTCAACTTATTTAGTTTTCGATATTAAAAATCAAAATACTTTTTTATTTTAACATACAACTTTTTATAAATATTTATATTGAAACTAGTAGGATTAATATAATCTTGAATACTTATATCGTGCAATTTTTTATGTAATTAAAAAAGCATATCTTATTAAAGCCACTTAAGATATGATTTTACCATGTTTATCTTTCTCTTTAATTATTCTTTCCATGTTTTCCGCCTTATCTTTCACCTTCCCAAAGAATTCTTCCGAGAGAAGCAGCAAGAAACAACAATACGACTTAAATAAGCGAAATATTAGCATTTAAAATATAAATACAATAAAACCATCATTTGCCACTATAAAAAAAACTTCAGCATTGAAATGAAATTTATCAGACTAAATTTACTGCAAATTTTAATTCTCACTAAATTCCAAGTGCAAATAAAACGTAATAGATACGACAGTACAGACAAAGGACAATTTGAAAAAGTTAAAAATTGTTACAGAATAGACATTAATAAATTCTTAATGTTATCAAAAAATGAACTTTTATAGTAATCAATTAAGTCGTGCCTTTCACCTTTACAAACAACACTAAATTAAGTTCAGTTAAAGAAGAAGAATAAAACTGCACCTCATAACAAAAATTTTTTGAGCTTACCAGCAATTTTTTTGTGAGCATCTGGACTTGCACTTTGTGTGAGAGCAGCAACTTTTAAGTATTCAGATTGCGATATCAAACCAGCTGCCTCCAAACTACCAGGAGACATTGCAGAATACTCTTCACTTAGTAACTCGATGATCAATGCTTCCACATCGAAGAACAAAATGTGACTTTCGGGATCTGAAAATGAACAGGAAATTTAATTAAACCTTTTCTTATCATGGACGAGACAAACACAATAACATTAGGTTTCTACCTACCCTTCGGGTTGGTCTTGAGGCCTTGTACAAGCAAAGATGAACTATGATTTAACTTCATGTGTGGATCATTTTCATTGGAGTGTATACCCAATTGTTGAAGCTGATGGAGACCCCTCTGTGTTGCATGCCTTATTGCTGACAAATTTCTATACCTCAATCCCCTACAACAAATAACACAAGTAATAGAAATAAAAATAAAAACAAATTCAAAGTTAAATAATACCTAAAGAAATGGATAGCAGGGTTGGCTAACCCTACTTCAGAAGATACATTGTAATTCGACTCATTTTCATCACAGGCATACAAAACATCTTCAGCTGCCACCCCTATAGATCAAACATTTTTTTTGTTCATATTTGTTAAATGATAAGACATCATAATTGCAAAAATACCTTGAAGAACTCGATCTAAATGACCAGTTTCCATTTGCCAGATGTAGACAGTACCATCAAGGCACCCTATTATCATGAAATCGTCCAGTGGTCGCCATTTAATTGTTGTTACCGGAAATAAGTGTCTTGAAGCCAAGCAAACGCATTTCCTTTCAGTTAAACTTAACAAAGTCACTGAATGATCCGATGCAACAGAACAAATACATTTCTGTATTCTTGTCTGTGAACGATAAAACAAAAAGCTTCTAAATTATTTCTAGCGTTGCCAAACAACGGTCTTAAGAAAAGCAATAAAAGTTGTCTCGTAAAAATGTTAGTCCGTTTAGATTAAGAGGGTCCACCATGTATAAAATGACGAAAATACATATGGCAAATGCTCTAAAATCACCATCAGATCAGAGACAGACGGATCCTGAATCAAACCGATGTCCTAACCACTGATCAAGACTGCTAGATTCCGCTTAATAATAATAAATGAAGTAATCTAGTCTGATACATACACTACAATTATTTGGAGGCACCAACAGTTGGGTAATTTCTCCAGCATGGACACAAAATCTATGTAAAAGCGTCCCAGCATATAAATCCCATAGACAAACAGCGAAATCGACACCGCCCGAAACAAGATGATTTTTATCATATCTACTGTGTTCCCTGTAGGGGTACAACAGACAATTCACCCTTCCATCATGCCCTGATAAAACTTGATGTGGAGGCCAATCTAGAAATAATATAAAATAAGCGCCCAACGCGTTGATGAATGTGATTAATTATTTACCATTACAATTTTGATGGTTTCCATGAAAAAGCTGCAGCATAATCGTCTGAGTGGCAGGAACAATGATAATTTTGCCATCTTCCCTGCCCACAACCAACCTGCTTTGTAAAGGAAGATAAATACTTGCAGTCAGTTTTAATGCTGCAAAAAGGTTATTTATATAAAAACTCTTCTTGCAATGCATCTACAAGTAATTATTACAGCTTAGTTCTGCTTACCTTCCTTTTCGTTTTTTTCGAGTTGATCTAAAATTCCTACAGGATTCGGGTTCATATTTGCCCAAGCTTCTGATAGACTAGTAGTAAGGGTAGCAGTCATTTGCACTGGTTGAGGCGGAATTTGCTTTTGTATTTCGACTAATTGCGCTGCAGATATTTCAGGAATGTTCCAGACCAATACATATCCTTCTGAGTCTCCCCTTAGCAAATACCTAAACGATTTTCCTTGCCTTTGTGTTGTTACAAATCTCATTGCAGGAGGACAAGACAGAGGCTACATAAAAAAAATAGTTTGTGTGTGCTCTACCCACATTAAAAGTTACTTAGCCGACGTATACATAATAATAATTACTTATATATCTATTTATCGATTACATATTTGAATATCACCGCACTGTGCTGCTCTTACTGGCTTACTTAGTGAACAGCAGCGATTGCCAAGACCAGATATACACAACTCCACGTTAAGATTTTGTACTTAACACTCCAAAATAATTTCCGAAATATTTTTAAAAACATAATTAATAATTACGTAACTAACAAACTAAAAATAATTAAAATAAACACGTTTATAATAATTAGTTTTTTCCAAGTCATGAGTCATTCTNAAACTTATGATAAACTTTTTATGTATTGAGTAGTAGAAGATATGTAGAAAAAATGATTTCCATTCTTACACATGCACACAGTCAGCCTTCAAATAACAGTAAAAATTTTTTATCATTTTTCAATCAAAATGTGCACAATAACAGCAACCTGTTTGTTTTTAACAAATGATTATTGCACAAATCCACATTCCGTAAATTATTTGGATATAAATAACTAACAGTAATAGTAAAAAATATTTTAATAATAAACCTGAAACATAAAATAGTCATATCATACTGATTAACTTAATTTAAAAATTGCAATAAATAAAATATAGATAGAAAAATCACAAGATGAATTTGATACAGTTTAAGAAGGTCACCAGAAAAGTTTTAAACTTCTTTTTTAATGTACATTAATGTACACAGCAATTATAAATATCTATTGTTTTTCATATATTAAAATTGCAATGCTAATTCATGTACAAACAAGAAAAATATTGAAATTAATAATTGCAAACCATTCTTGCAGCTTTATGATAAACAGAATAAATAAATGCTTATAAAAATTCGAACAAAACAGATGAAGATGCATAAAAAGTTAAAATAGTGCTAGAGAAAGGGTATATAAGTACTGTTAAAAAAGCGATTTTTGCATTTGAGATAATTTTTTTAGTTAAAAACGAATTCTATATTAGTATAAATTAACAATCTCAAAGGCACTGCCTAATCCATGATTTACAATAAAAAATAGAAAATGAGTATCAAGAAAAAGCGTTATCGTTTTTTTGTTTTTTTGATAATTTGAAAATAGCATTATAAACCATGGACAGTAATGCAACAAATACAAATAACAAACATAAAAACAATGTGATGATCTGACCTATTAATAACCTTGCCACGTAGCTTGCTATTGGTCCGGGAAAAAAATAAAAAAATATTAGTAATGCTTCATGGTTACTACATAGCTGTAGCAGTACAAATGAATGTGCTATAAAAATGATTAAATAAAAAAGTAATTATTAAATATAAATAAAGCCAAATCAATTAAAATCAAAATCCATAATTATACAACTTCAAATACCTTATATGCGTATGAATAAAAATTTAATGTATACGTACAGTAAAAGCAAAGTAGATACAAAGACAACTGTAATGACATAAATTGCAAATAATAAATATTTGCAAGCAAATAGAATAAAAAAAATAATAGTAGAATATGTCAAACATGAACTAAAAATAAAAAATGTGTATAAACATAAAAAAGTGTTTTCTTTCTTATTAAATAAAAATGATAAATGGAAAAACCTTAATGTTTTTAGTGTGTCTTTTGTACATAGAACACATACATCTAAATAGCTAAATACTTAATAGCAATTTTGAGGTAGTTTGCAGCTGCAGTGCATGTAGGTACCATAAGTATATCGAATAAAAGGTCTTGACGTTTGACTTTCATTAAAAAAAAGAGTACAGGGTAATTGGACGATGTATTTTTGTAAAATTTTACGCAAAATAGTTTGGATTCTTGCATACAAGCATTTCGCGAGTTTTATGTATCTGCAAATGATCATGAGTAGTATCAAATGAAAAATGCATACTTGTGTTCATATGTGCAGAGAGCAAGAACATCGAAAAAATTCATCGTTGTACTATCCACATGACTAAAAATAGAGGAATGTTTTGAGTAAAATCATTTGAATGAGGCTCTCTTGACCCTTTAATTACCAAATTATTTATTAGTTGTATGAAAAAGTGCCCCCCCGTAATTTGACCAATTCCCACACCTATTATTAATAAATGCATCTTTTAGTAATCCCTTAACCATAAAATATATCTAAGTAATTGTAAAATCCGCATAAGAAGCTTACTTTGACGGTAACTTATACAAATATCCTTTTCCAGCATCAGACCATACCAAAATACGATCTGCGGCCAAAAAATCTCCTGACATCCATCTTTCCCCCCTCGGGGCTACATACGAACATAATACACTAAAATCTCCTAAAAAAAAAAATTAAAGAAGTAGCAGACTAGTGCATCGAAACTTCCATGCCCTGTTAAACAAGTTACTAATACGAAACTGAAGCTTAATAAAAATAGTCTTCATTGATAAAAATAATGAAAAAGAAACGATAAAAATGCTTCGTTACCTGCATCATAAATCTGCCAATATTTACTACATACTATAAGTACAGTTCTTTGATTGTATGCACAGCATTGCATACAAACTGCATTCAAGCACCTTATTTGTTTACTTTCGTTTTCATATATTGGTTCTGAATGTTTATTTTCGTGACCCAAAAGTGTCCACACTTTGACCATCCCTGTAGTTGTCAATGCAAGTACAACGTCGTCCTTACGCTTTACAGGTCGTAGAACCTACATGTAAATTATCATTTTAAAGTATTGGAAGTTTTAAAAGATATAAAAGAAAAGAATTCATTAATATCGAATTAAAAAAAAATGGTAAAGGAGTAACTCCTGTATACCACAAACTTTTCCAAAAAGATAGACGTATGTTTCGTCCACTCATGCTCACAACAGAACCAGGCTAAACATGATTATTTTTTTGAAAAGTCTGTGGTGTACAGGGGCGAGTCTCTTTGATATTGTTCTAATATCTAATTAATTAAATTAATGATTACTTACGTGAAGAGCACTTATCCAATCGGGATTAACTTTAGAGGACAGAACAAATAATATTTCTAAACTAAATGGATCCATGACTATAACTTCAGGATAATATCCATTACAAAATAATCTTACATCCTCGCAGTTAGTCATGTGATAAGCCTAAGATATAAAAGAACACTCATTTAACAATTAAATTAAAGAAATATGTACATATTCACTTATCAAAATTAAAAGCTCAATTAAATTCGTTGTTAATTACAACTATTTCGAAAGTTTATTAATCCTTCGTTTTAACCCACCCCACTAGAGACTAAAACGGTTTTTTCTTTCGGATTAAACGTCCACAATGCTTTTTCATTTTTCCTATAGAATTTACAAAGTCTACCTGCATAAATTATTAAAAAAATCAAATCGGTAGCTTCAGTAATTTCTAAAATAATCAATTTTTTTATTACATTCACAATAAAAGTTTCCTTATTGATATGGAACCCAAAAATGAGCACATTGCGCCACCCTGTACATATTAATTAATGGAACCAACTAATCAATTAAAATTTTAAATATTTTAAAAGAAATGTATCTCCATTAACACTTAAATTCGGCTTTATCAAAAAACATTTAGTTTTAATATCCTTTTTTACTCTAAGATTATGATGTCTTGCATCCTTATCACAGACATTACAATCATAATACCTAGGTGTCCCAATAAAAACATATTATTCCTCGTGACTGTATCAAATTTACACAATTAGATACGTAATCACATGGCTTAACGCAGACGTGTAGTAAATACAAATACAAACAGCGACTTCGGTCGGTTAAAGTTAAGATAAGAAATTTAAGTACTTCTTTAGGATATATTATAACAAAAAACAATAACTATGAAGTAGTTCTCACTAGATAACTTATCGAACATTAAAGACTGTATTTTCAAATATACTTAATGAATAATATTAAATAATTTAATTTCCCATTCAATAAAAAATAATAAATTTATAATATAACAAATCAACAAAAATTACAGTTGGAAAAACTTATGATAAACTTTTTATGTATTGAGTAGTAGAAGATATGTAGAAAAAATGATTTCCATTCTTACACATGCACACAGTCAGCCTTCAAATAACAGTAAAAATTTTTTATCATTTTTCAATCAAAATGTGCACAATAACAGCAACCTGTTTGTTTTTAACAAATGATTATTGCACAAATCCACATTCCGTAAATTATTTGGATATAAATAACTAACAGTAATAGTAAAAAATATTTTAATAATAAACCTGAAACATAAAATAGTCATATCATACTGATTAACTTAATTTAAAAATTGCAATAAATAAAATATAGATAGAAAAATCACAAGATGAATTTGATACAGTTTAAGAAGGTCATATAAAACTTTTTTTTAAGACTCATTTTGTGGTTTGCAACTTATACCATGCCAACTATTTCAAGGGCAATTAGCATATGAAAACATTGTCTTAATCCCAACGTAAATATAATAAAAAACGAATTTCCTTACCTGAATGTTAGTGTGAACTTGAGATAGTTTAACTAACTCTCTGCATTTCCCATCTATTAAATCCCAGGTACACATTTCCCCTGCCTCAGAACTAGACACTATAAAGTTATTATCTTGAATTATAGATGCTTTAGAAATGCACAAAACTGGTGCAGAATGTCCCACCAATAAACATCTGGGTATGATTTCCAAGGTGTCTGGGTCCACTTGCCTAAAATAAATAATGAATGAACTATTAAATAAATAAACATTATATTACAATGTTCTTCCTACCAAAGACATATCTGTCCATCATAACAGCCAGTTGCCAATGTTTTCTGATCTTTAGATAAGTAGATACAGGAAATACAATGTGTTGGAGCATGCTTTCCCCATAACACTACTGGAACCACAAGACTAGTTCCAGGCATTTTTAAAAACTACAAAACATTTTCTGTTTAAATATTGTACACAAGTTTTGGTTTAAACTGGTTAAAAACCAAGCCAATATTTGCCAACAATCAATTAATAAACAATAACTTTAATTAGGCTAAATTAGTGTCAATTAAAAAAATACATATTCAGAAATCATATGACCTCGCTCAATTCGATTTCGTTAACATTTCACACTTTTAAAATATGTAAATGAATCATGATTAGGCTAATATTGAAGCAGTTGGTAAAAATACAAATGTAGCAGTTGATGGAGATGTACTGACAAACATTAACCATACTTTTTGACAGTTATTAGCATACAAAAACAGGAAAACGCAAGTGTTTCAAACCAAATTTACTTACTTGTAAGTTGAAAATTTACAAAGCTGGACGGATTTTAACAGCTAGGTTAAATATTTAGAATGTATCAATACCACAAATGCCATTTTCAGCAAATATCAGCTGTTAAAATCTGTCGATCCACTTTTTCTACTTGACAATTAAACGACTGAAACGGACAACAATGACAGTTCCACAGAAGTAGTTGCACGTTTGGCAAACGAGAATATGTTGAGAACTTAGACACCACTCGGTAAGATAAAAATAAACAAACACATTTTCGCATCGAAGTATTTAAATTTATAGTTCTGCATGGAGTTATTGATATAGAAAACATAATTCACAGTATGTTCTTAAGTTTGTTTTTTCTCTAAACGTAAAAGGTTGTCGATTTTTTCTAACAGTGTGTTAATATTGTGCAGTTTTTACTATAGAAAATGAGGTGTCATTACGACGTCTTGGGAATACCGAAAGACGCAGACGATTCTCAAATTAAATCTGCTTATAAAAAATTAGCACTCAAATGGCATCCTGATAAGAACTTGGGAAATGCTGAATATGCAAAGGAAGAGTTTCAACTCGTGCAGCAGGCGTATGAAATATTGAGTGATCGACAAGAGAGGGCGTGGTATGACAACCATCGCGAACAAATTTTGCGCGGTTCAAATTCCGAATTCAAAGATAACAGTCTTGATGTCTTTCAGTATTTCACAACAACCTGTTTCAAGGGCTACGGGGATGACCTCAACGGATTTTACGTTGTTTACAGAAACGTTTTCGAAAAAATTGCTAAAGAAGACTTAGAATTTATGGAAGACAAAGACGAATTTTGTCAGATACCATCATTCGGGGATTCTAAGAGCGATTATGACGAAGTGGTGGGGCCTTTTTATGCATACTGGATGAGTTATAGTACAAAAAAGAGTTACGTTTGGCTAGATCCTTACAACCTCAGTGATATTCGAGACCGAAAAATCTTTAAAATAGCAGAAAAGAAAAATAAAAAAATACGGCAACAAGCCAAAAAAGAACGAAATGATGAAATTAGGAATTTGGTAGCTTTTGTTAAAAAAAGGGATAAGCGCGTCCAAGAACATGCAAAAAAAATACAAGCTAAAATATTAGAAAATAGGCAAAAATATGAGCAAATCAGCAAGCAAAAAAGATTAGAGCGCAAAAAATTACATGACGATCATACTCAAGCAGAATGGACGAAATTTGATAATGTAAAGTCGGAATTAGAAGAAATTGAGCGTCGACTTGCGGAACAATTCGGAGAACAGTTATCCGATTCTGAAGAAGATCAAGAAGATAGCGAAGATGAAAACAGTTTATATTGCGTCGCCTGTAATAAAATTTTTAAAACTCCAAAAGCACTCCAAAACCATGAAGCAAGTAAAAAACATAAAGAAAATTTACAAATATTGCAAGAAACAATGTTAGATGAAGAAAATGATATTAGCGAATCATCAGAAGAACAAGAAAACGACATAAGTGAAACATTAGAGAAAAACCCCCCACAAGAAGTTATTAAAGGGGATAATCATAGTGATTATCTAATTTCTGATAAAGAAGGTATTCATAATGCATCTGATAGTAGTTTTTCAACTACAGAAACCAAAAAGAAAAGGAAAAACAAAAAGATGCATAAATCTTCTACAAGACATATTTTAGTAGAAAATGAAAACAAGAATGGTGATGATATTTTACCAAAACAGGATGAAATAGGGAAATTTTCTGATGATGATAGTGAATTTAACAGTTTCAGTAAAGGAAAAAGACAAAAGAAAAAACCTAAAAAATCATTACAAAAATTTGAAGATAATCGAAACGTACGTGCAACAGAAGATAATCACAATGTGATAAAGAATGCTTTAGAGGAATCTTTCAAAGAAACCACAAGAAGATCTAGTAACAAAACAAATAAGAAAAAAGATCCCAAAAATGAAAAAGAAGCAATCTGTAATATCGATATCGACACCAACCACTGTTGCGCATCATGTAAATCGAATTTTCCCTCCAAAAATAAATTATTTGAACATCTCAAAGCGACAGGTCACAGTGTATATTTGTCCAAAGAACAGAAAAGGGGCAAACAGAAGAAAGCTATTAATAACTCAAGTTAAATGTACAATAGTTAATCTTAATGAATAAACAGTGGAAGCTGCAAATCTACTTTTATTTCAATGTATTTCCTTTTAAGTTAATAAAACTGAAAGAATATATATTCAAATAAAAAACGTGAAAGTTACGTTTCCATATACATATATATTTAAGTGTATAATACAAAAATAGAAATCTGTCCATATATTTTTGGTGTAAAGTAACCATGCACACAGTCAGCCTTCAAATAACAGTAAAAATTTTTTATCATTTTTCAATCAAAATGTGCACAATAACAGCAACCTGTTTGTTTTTAACAAATGATTATTGCACAAATCCACATTCCGTAAATTATTTGGATATAAATAACTAACAGTAATAGTAAAAAATATTTTAATAATAAACCTGAAACATAAAATAGTCATATCATACTGATTAACTTAATTTAAAAATTGCAATAAATAAAATATAGATAGAAAAATCACAAGATGAATTTGATACAGTTTAAGAAGGTCATATAAAACTTTTTTTTAAGACTCATTTTGTGGTTTGCAACTTATACCATGCCAACTATTTCAAGGGCAATTAGCATATGAAAACATTGTCTTAATCCCAACGTAAATATAATAAAAAACGAATTTCCTTACCTGAATGTTAGTGTGAACTTGAGATAGTTTAACTAACTCTCTGCATTTCCCATCTATTAAATCCCAGGTACACATTTCCCCTGCCTCAGAACTAGACACTATAAAGTTATTATCTTGAATTATAGATGCTTTAGAAATGCACAAAACTGGTGCAGAATGTCCCACCAATAAACATCTGGGTATGATTTCCAAGGTGTCTGGGTCCACTTGCCTAAAATAAATAATGAATGAACTATTAAATAAATAAACATTATATTACAATGTTCTTCCTACCAAAGACATATCTGTCCATCATAACAGCCAGTTGCCAATGTTTTCTGATCTTTAGATAAGTAGATACAGGAAATACAATGTGTTGGAGCATGCTTTCCCCATAACACTACTGGAACCACAAGACTAGTTCCAGGCATTTTTAAAAACTACAAAACATTTTCTGTTTAAATATTGTACACAAGTTTTGGTTTAAACTGGTTAAAAACCAAGCCAATATTTGCCAACAATCAATTAATAAACAATAACTTTAATTAGGCTAAATTAGTGTCAATTAAAAAAATACATATTCAGAAATCATATGACCTCGCTCAATTCGATTTCGTTAACATTTCACACTTTTAAAATATGTAAATGAATCATGATTAGGCTAATATTGAAGCAGTTGGTAAAAATACAAATGTAGCAGTTGATGGAGATGTACTGACAAACATTAACCATACTTTTTGACAGTTATTAGCATACAAAAACAGGAAAACGCAAGTGTTTCAAACCAAATTTACTTACTTGTAAGTTGAAAATTTACAAAGCTGGACGGATTTTAACAGCTAGGTTAAATATTTAGAATGTATCAATACCACAAATGCCATTTTCAGCAAATATCAGCTGTTAAAATCTGTCGATCCACTTTTTCTACTTGACAATTAAACGACTGAAACGGACAACAATGACAGTTCCACAGAAGTAGTTGCACGTTTGGCAAACGAGAATATGTTGAGAACTTAGACACCACTCGGTAAGATAAAAATAAACAAACACATTTTCGCATCGAAGTATTTAAATTTATAGTTCTGCATGGAGTTATTGATATAGAAAACATAATTCACAGTATGTTCTTAAGTTTGTTTTTTCTCTAAACGTAAAAGGTTGTCGATTTTTTCTAACAGTGTGTTAATATTGTGCAGTTTTTACTATAGAAAATGAGGTGTCATTACGACGTCTTGGGAATACCGAAAGACGCAGACGATTCTCAAATTAAATCTGCTTATAAAAAATTAGCACTCAAATGGCATCCTGATAAGAACTTGGGAAATGCTGAATATGCAAAGGAAGAGTTTCAACTCGTGCAGCAGGCGTATGAAATATTGAGTGATCGACAAGAGAGGGCGTGGTATGACAACCATCGCGAACAAATTTTGCGCGGTTCAAATTCCGAATTCAAAGATAACAGTCTTGATGTCTTTCAGTATTTCACAACAACCTGTTTCAAGGGCTACGGGGATGACCTCAACGGATTTTACGTTGTTTACAGAAACGTTTTCGAAAAAATTGCTAAAGAAGACTTAGAATTTATGGAAGACAAAGACGAATTTTGTCAGATACCATCATTCGGGGATTCTAAGAGCGATTATGACGAAGTGGTGGGGCCTTTTTATGCATACTGGATGAGTTATAGTACAAAAAAGAGTTACGTTTGGCTAGATCCTTACAACCTCAGTGATATTCGAGACCGAAAAATCTTTAAAATAGCAGAAAAGAAAAATAAAAAAATACGGCAACAAGCCAAAAAAGAACGAAATGATGAAATTAGGAATTTGGTAGCTTTTGTTAAAAAAAGGGATAAGCGCGTCCAAGAACATGCAAAAAAAATACAAGCTAAAATATTAGAAAATAGGCAAAAATATGAGCAAATCAGCAAGCAAAAAAGATTAGAGCGCAAAAAATTACATGACGATCATACTCAAGCAGAATGGACGAAATTTGATAATGTAAAGTCGGAATTAGAAGAAATTGAGCGTCGACTTGCGGAACAATTCGGAGAACAGTTATCCGATTCTGAAGAAGATCAAGAAGATAGCGAAGATGAAAACAGTTTATATTGCGTCGCCTGTAATAAAATTTTTAAAACTCCAAAAGCACTCCAAAACCATGAAGCAAGTAAAAAACATAAAGAAAATTTACAAATATTGCAAGAAACAATGTTAGATGAAGAAAATGATATTAGCGAATCATCAGAAGAACAAGAAAACGACATAAGTGAAACATTAGAGAAAAACCCCCCACAAGAAGTTATTAAAGGGGATAATCATAGTGATTATCTAATTTCTGATAAAGAAGGTATTCATAATGCATCTGATAGTAGTTTTTCAACTACAGAAACCAAAAAGAAAAGGAAAAACAAAAAGATGCATAAATCTTCTACAAGACATATTTTGGTAGAAAATGAAAACAAGAATGGTGATGA